TTCTTTCCTCCAAACCACAGATGCTCTGCACTTCATCCACCGTTGCTATTTCTCTCTCCTGCTTACACGGTTGTCATGATAAAGCATCAGCATCTATGTTTTTCCTCCCTGCTCTATAGTGTAAGCTGAAACGGTAATCGGCCAATGCCGCTACCCAATGGTGCCCTGTTGCATCCAGCTTGGCACTTGTTAGCACATTGGTCAGTGGATTTTTATCAGTCCAAACTTCAAACTGGGTCCCATACAGGTAGTCCTTGAATTTGTCAGTCACCGCCCACTTGAGTGCAAGGAACTTTAGCTTATGCGTCGGGTACTGAGTTTCACTGTCGACTAAACCTCGGCTGGCAAAAGCAACGGGTTTTAATTTTCCTTGGTGCTCTTGGTATAGCACAGCCCCCTACCCCTCAAGGCTGGCATCCGTATGCAATACAAAGGGCCATTGCAGGTCTGCATAAACTAATACTGGGGCACATGCCCAACTCCGGATGAGGGCTCTGAATGCCCGCTCACAATTTTCAGCCCATCGTGGCTCAAATGACTCTAATGGGTCCTGCAAACCCAAGGGCCTGCCTGCTCTTGCCTTAGACAGAGCTCCTTTACTTCGGGTCTGGCTCCTTTTCGCCTGATATCCTCGAGTGAGGTCGTTTAGGGGTTTTGCCAATCTGGCATATTTCTGGACAAATCGTCTATAGTACCCAGCAAACCCCAAGAATCGCTTACATTCCTGACAGTTCCTTGGCCTTGGCCACGTTGCCACGGCATTGATCTTATCAGGGTCAGTGCTGACTCCCTCCTGGGACACTATATGTCCAATGTATTTGACTGATGTCTGGCAAAACTGGCACTTGTCCAGGGCAAGCTTAAGCCCAGCAGCTTGCAATCGATCCAGGACTTTCAACAGTCGCTCTTCATGCTCCTCTAGCGTCTTCCCAAATACTATGAGGTCATCCAGGTATACCAGCACTTGGGTCATGTTCATATCTCCCACTAACTTTTCCATTAACCGTTGAAATGTAGCAGGGGCACCAGAGATCCCCTGGGGCATCCGCTCGAATTGGTAGAACCCCAGTGGGCAGATAAAAGCTGTTTTTTCTTTATCCTCTTGTGCCAATGGAATTTGGTAATAACCGCTGCGCAGATCAAGCACCGAGAACCACTGGCTTCCCAACAAACAATCGAGGGCATCTTGCACTTCGGGAACGGTGTATTGGTCCACTGTAGTGCAGCTGTTGAGGGTTCGATAATCAACGCACATCCAAATTTTGCCAGTTTTCGCAGTACATCAACTGGGGAGGCGTATGGGCTACGTGTCTCGGATATGATACCATGGTCCAAAAGTTCCTGGAGGTGCCGCCTCACATCCTCCATCTCTGAAAGGGCGATTCATCAGGAACGCTCCCGAAACGGTCGGGTGTCTTGAAGCCGAACAGAATGCTCCACTCCTTTAGCCAGCCCGACATCCCACTCATGCACAGAGAATACGTTTCCTCGAGCACTTAGCTTGTGCTTGAAATGTCCGTCTTCCCCGCACCGGTAACAAAATTTTCCTTTCCCCTTGGGCCGGCGAGGCCATTGTGACCTGATAGCTGGTGAGCCTTGGGAGGCCCTGGGCTGATTTCCCCGTGTCACCTGGGCTTGCTGGTGCAGCACGGCCAGTGGCTGTGGGGCATTGTTGTCAAAGTCAGTCGCCATCGACATCTCGACAACCAATGCTCGTGGTGGGCATGGAGCCATGGCCATTCCCCAGCTGGCACTGGTGTTACCGCTTTGATAGAGGCCTTTACAGCTTGTAGGCTTTCAGCCTCCCTGATTTCCTGAAGTAACTGCCCAAATGTAGGGGGATTCTCTCTCCTCCCAGTGAGGTTGAGCTCCCTTACCAGTTGCTCATCATAAAGTATTCCTACCCGGAGTTGCTGCAAGCGAGCTTTGCCAGCCATCTCCCGAGTGAGTCCTCCTTGGGCCACTAGCTGCTGTAACACTCTCTCTAATCGCAGGATGTAAGCTGAGGCTGTTTCCCCTTTTTGTTGGTATGTCTTATTAAATTCCAGGAACAAAGCCTCAGCTTGCACTGATTTTCCAAAGACACTAGACAGAAGTTCGAGAC